TTTTCCCTGGAAAATGCCTCCACAAATATATCCACCTTTAGACTCTTGTTAAAAGTGCAGAGATCAGGACAGAGCCCAGAGAGCGGGTGTGATGTTGGGCACAGAGCCAACAGCAAGGTCCTGCTTCCTTTTAATCATGGTGCCTCTTCATGCAAATAAGATGCAAAGGAGCACCTAGTCCCCAATTTCCAGATGGAACCAGTGGACCATGTTTCCTGAAGTCCATGTTCTCCTCGTCCTAAGACTGTAGACCAAAACCTTTGCTCTAGCTCCATTGTTGCTTCTTAAACTATATCTTTTGCATCGGGTAAGAAATACGGTAAGTACTTGTCTGTTAGATGACAGGGCGCTGTCGTTCATAGTACCTGAGGGCAGCCAGTTAGCTTAGAGGGCACTGGGTACACAAACCTCTGCTCTCCAGCAGCTTGTTTCTGCTTCCTGCTCCTGTAGCATCTGTCACCTGAGGCCATTTTCAGAGACAATTGTTCTCAGAGTCAGCCCCATGTACTACATGTTACAATAGCCAAGCTGAAAAGCCATCAAAACATATCAAGCAGAGATGACACACACACACACCATTTCCAGAATGGTGAACACCTTTGGTTGATGTAAATTAGGTGTGGGGCATAGAATGTGGTTGACAGGCTGGATTTTGAACTTCCTCACCCTCCCACTTTGGGAAGGGGGCAAGGCTTTCAGTGATGGCCTCCATGATGGCAGGTGGCTCAACTTCAAAGAAGAGATTTGGCGACACACTCTAAGGATGCATACAGACATAGAGCTTATTGCATTTGTATTTTTGGATGTAATGGTAGCATTTTTGCCCCAGTTTCTACTTTTCCTTTTACCTTGCAGTACCTGTTGGAACTGTAGCTTTTTGATTGATAGTCTGCCATGTCATACTTAATTTCACTCACAGCAGTGGGTGTGGTGTGACACAGCAGCAATATTATCAGCCACACAAATATGAGGTACTCATATTCTTTGCTTTCACATAAGCAATTGAAAATTTCAGCTTTTCACAGAGCTATTTCTGGCTGTACTGTATTTTTCGCTCTATAGGATGCACCCGACCATAGGACGCACCCTGTTTTACAGTCACTGTAAAACCTAGTACAGTGGTACCTTGGTTTACAACCATAATCCGTTCCGGAGGTCTGTTTGTAAACCAAAACAGGTTGTAACCTAAGGCACACTTTCGCCAATGGGGCCTCAAAAAACAAATTGTTTGCAATCCCCAAAAAATGGGTTGTAATCCAAAAAAAGTTTGCAAGCCAGGACACGTACTTCCAGGTTTGACATGTTTGTAATCCAAAAAGTATGCAAATCAGACTGTTTGCAAACCAAGGTACCACTGTACCATGATTAACCAATTGCCCAGGTGGGACACCACAGTAATAGATGTTATACTTACATGGACTTTGTGTGGCTTTACCCTGGGGCAAAGCTATGCCTATAAGGCAGAATTTCACCCTTATTTACAGAGAACTTAAAAGAAAAGTAATCATGTAGCAGAAACTCAGTTAAAGAATGCTGTGAAAGTTAAAAGAGACCTATCAAACCTGTTCTGGTCCTTGTAAAATATTTAAAGATTGAGTCAATGATGAAAGATTTTGCAGAGCCTTAAGTATTTCATCCAACCACCCATTGCTTTTCAGCAAAAAAAACGGTTTTCAAAGCCTGAGAAATGGTTATATTTTCCTCCCATATTTGCACATTGTATCTTAACTACTTGGCTTGGGTTTACCGATAGTTTATATCTGAACAGGCAAGCCTTGTTTTCTATGTAGCCCCCAATCATCTCATTTTGATAGTTTAAAGGTTTTTTTGTGGTTCATAATATACCACATAAAGGAGAATATACTTTTCCTATAACCATCGTATTAGGATCTAGTTCTGCTTCGCCTATGTAAATTCTAGGAAAATTCAATATTAATTTCAAAAATTGTAATAAGGTGAAGCTAAATTCCCATTGATTTAAATTGACTAGATTTTCCTGTTGATGTAAGGAAATTTGTATATTGACCCAGAAAGGCAAGTCTTCTAAGACTTGAAAAGGCTTTCCTACATGTGATCACTGCTACCCACCTGCTCACTTACAGGAGAAACACTATTTGAAACAGTCACTCTGCTTCTCCTTTAAATGAAGGAGAATAGGGGCAACTGCTTCAAACAGTGCTTTTGAATAAGGCTTTAAAAGAGTCCCCACCCTCCTATTTTGGCCTGACATGGGAGCGTGGTGGTTGTCTTAAAGCCATTGCAGGTCCTCCCACACTTCCCTTTTAAGCTTGTTGTCATGTGCCTCACAGGTGGGTGGCCCCACCAAAGTACCACATTTGACCCATGAGGCCAAGCCTCATGGCCTTTGGAGGCCACATGTGGCTTGCGGAACCCAAAAGGTTTTCCCACTCCATCTTACATTCTTAATTCAAGTGTGCTTTGGCTTAAATCTTGAAGCAGGGAATTCCCCCGAGACACGGGGGAATGATTAATGGACTTCAATGTCTGTACACTAATGCGCAAAGCATGGGAAATAAACAAGATGAGCTTGAGCTCTTGGTACAGCAAACTAAATATGACATAATAGGCATCACTGAAACCTGGTGGGATAAGTCCCACGAGTGGAATGTAATAATGGAGGGATACAATCTATTTCAGAGAAACAGACCAGACAAGAAAGGAGGAGGAGTGGCGTTATATGTCAGGGATGTGTATACCTGTGAAGAGATCCAAGATTTAGAACCTCAAAGCCAAAGTGAGAGCATTTGGGTCAAAATCAAGGGAGAGAAGAATAACAGTGACCTCATTGTGGGAGTTTACTATAGATCCCCAAGCCAAACAGAGGACATAGATGATGCCTTCCTGGAACAGATGGCCAAGCATGCAAAAGGAAGGGAGATAGTAGTAATGGGGACTTCAATTACCCGGATATTTGTTGGATGTCAAACTCAGCCAAGAGCATAAGGTCAAACAGATTCCTCACTGGCCTTGCAGACAACTTCATTGTCCAGAAAGTGGGAGAAGCAACAAGAGGAACAGCCATTTTAGATCTGGTCCTAACCAATGTTGATGACCTGGTTAGTGGGGTAGAAGTGGAAGGATCATTAGGCGCGAGTGATCATGCTCTTCTGAAGAGCTATACAGCGGAAAGGAGCAGCCAAGCATACTAGGACTCCATTTCTTGACTTTAAGAAAGCCGACTTCATAAAACTTAGGGAAGTGCTGGGTGAGATCCCATGGACAGTAATACTAAAAGGAAAGGGAGTTCATGATGGCTGGGAGTTTGTTAAGAGGGAGATAGTAAAAGCACAACGTCAGGCAATACCAATGAGACGGAAACATGGAAGGTGCCTAAAGAAGCCAGAGTGGCCATCTAAAGAACTTTTAACTGAGTTAAGATTAAAAAAGGATGTGTACAAAAAATGGAAAAGGGGGGAAACCACCAAAGAGGAATTCAAACAAATAGCCAGCACGTGTAGACACAAAGTCAGAAAAGCTAAAGCACAGAATGAACTCAGGCTTGCTAGAGAGGTTAAAAGCAACAAAAAGGCTTTTATGGGTATGTTCGTAGCAAAAGGAAGAACAAAGAAACACTGGGGTCACTCAGAGGAGAAGATGGTGAAATGCAAACAGGGGACACAGAAAGGGCTGAACTCCTCAATGCCTTCTTTGCCTCAGTCTTCTCCGATAAAGAAAACAATGCCCGACCTGAAGAATTTGGAGCAAATGATTCAGCAGAGGAAACACAGCCCAGAATAACTAAGGAGATAGTACAAGAATACTTGGCTAGTTTAAATGTATTCAAGTCTCCAGGGCCAGATGAACTGCATCCAAGAGTATTAAAAGAACTGGCAGATGTGATCTCAGAACCACTGGCAGTCATCTTTGAGAATTCCTGGAGAACAGGCGAAGTCCCGGCAGACTGGAGGAGGGCAAATGTTGTCCCTATTTTCAAAAAGGGGAAAGAGAGGACCCAAATAATTACCGCCCAGTCAGTCTGACATCAATACCAGGGAAGATTCTGGAGCAGATCATTAAGCAAACAGTCCATGAGCACCTAGAAAGGAATGCTGTGATCACCAATAGTCAGCATGGATTTCTGAAAAATAAGTCATGTCAGACTAACCTGATCTCATTTTTGACAGAATTACAAGCCTGGTAGATGAAGGGAATGCAGTGGATGTAGCCTACCTTGATTTCAGCAAGGCATTTGACAAGGTGCCCCATGATATTCTTGTAAAGAAGCTGGTAAAATGCGGTCTTGACTATGCTACCACTCAGTGGATTTGTAACTGGCTGACTGACCGAACCCAAAGGGTGCTCATCAATGGTTCCTCTTCATCCTGGAGAAGAGTGACTAGTGGGGTGCCACAGGGTTCTGTCTTGGGCCCGGTCTTATTCAACATCTTTATCAACGACTTGGATGATGGACTCAAGGGCATCCTGATCAAATTTGCAGATGACACCAAATTGGGCGGGGTGGCTAACACCCCAGAGGACAGGATCACACTTCAAAACGACCTTGACAGATTAGAGAACTGGGCAAAAACGAACAAGACGAATCTTAACAGGGAGAAATGTAAAGTATTGCACTTGGGCAAAAAAAATGAGAGGCACAAATACAAGATGGGTGACACCTGGCTTGAGAGCAGTACATGTGAAAAGGATCTAGGAGTCTTGGTTGACCACAAACTTGACATGAGCCAACAGCAGCTAAAAAAGCCAATGCAATTCTGGGCCTCATCAATAGGGGTATAGCATCTAGATCAAGGGAAGTAATAGTGCCACTGTATTCTGCTCTGGTCAGACCTCACCTGGAGTACTGTGTCCAGTTCTGGGCACCACAGTTCAAGAAGGACACTGACAAACTGGAACGTGTCCAGAGGAGGGCAACCAAAATGGTCAAAGGCCTGGAAACGATGCCTTATGAGGAACGGCTAAGGGAGCTGGGCATGTTTAGCCTGGAGAAGAGGAGGTTAAGGGGTGATATGATAGCCATGTTCAAATACAGTGGTGCCCCGCAAGACGAACGCCTCGCAAGACGAAAAACTCGCAAGACGAAAGGTTTTTTCGTTTTCGAGTTGCTTCGCAAGACGAATGTCCCTATGGGCTTGCTTTGCAAGACGAAAACGTCTTGCAAGTTTGTTTCCTTTTTCGTAAAACCGTTAAAACCCAGGGTGCATTGCTGGAAGAGGTGCAGTTGCGACTTGACCTCGAGGAGCAACACATTGCACGCGGTGTGGTGGCCTTTCTGAGCTTTTTAAAGAGTTTGCTGGATTTTTGAAGCTTTTCCAAAACTTCTTTTGCAGCTGTTTGGTAAGTTAAACTTTTAAAACTTTTTTGGGTTTTTGGATTTTGGGTTGGGGTGTTTAGAATTCAAGGACTTGGTGTTGGGGAGAGGTTTGCAAGAATCTGGGAGCTTGTGTGGTTTTTTCCTGCATTTTTATGATTTTCTGTGACCATTGGGCCATGTTTATTTTTTTTAAAAAAAAAAATCTGGGTTTGAATTTTTGAATTTCTGTGTGCTGGGTGGATGGGGGAACAGCTGGGGAGGGGTTTGCAAGAATCTGGGAGCTTGTGTGGTTTTTTCTGCATTTTTATGATTTTCTGTGACCATTGGGCCATGTTGTTGTTTTTTGAAAAAATTTCTGGGTTTTGAATTTCTGTGTGCTGGGTGGCTGGGGGAACAGCTGGGGAGGGGTTTGCAGGAATCTGGGAGCTTGTGTGGTTTTTTTTGAATTTTTATGGTTTTCTGTGACCATTGGGCCATGTTGGTTTTTTTTGAAAAAAATTTCTGGGTTTTGAATTTCTGTGTGCTGGGTGGCTGGGGGAACAGCTGGGGAGGGGTTTGCAGGAATCTGGGAGCTTGTGTGGGTTTTTTTTGAATTTTTATGGTTTTCTGTAACCATTGGGCCATGTTGTTGTTTTTTGAAAAATTTTCTGGGTTTTGAATTTCTGTGTGCTGGGTGGCTGGGGGAACAGATGAGGAGGGGTTTGCAACAATTGGGGAGGGGTTTGCAACAGTTGGGGAGGGGCTGGGGAACAGTTGAGGTTTTTGAAGACTTTGGTGATTTTTAAAGCTTTCCCAAAACTTCTTTTGCAGCCATTTGAGGATTTTGAAGACTTTGGTGATTTGCAGCCATTTCGTAAGTTAAACTTTTAAAACTTTTTTTGGGGTTTTTGGATTTTGGGTTGGGTGTTTGGAATTCAAGGACTTGGTTCTGGGTTTGAATTGCTGATTTTTTTTTCTTTTTCTGAGTTTACAAAGGTAACAGCTGTGCTGCCATGGGACCCAAGAAGACTGCTGCTGCTGCGGAGGCCGGCGAGAGGAAGAAGGAGAAGGTGACGCTGGAGATGAAGAAGGAGATCATCCGGAAGCACGACGGTGGAATGCGTGTGACGGACCTCGCCAGGGAGTACGGCAGGAACCCATCGACCATCGGGACCATCCTGAAGATGAGGGAGAAGATCCTTGCGACTGATGCAGCCAAGGGAGTCACCAGGATCGTGAAGAACCGCCCAGCTGTTCTGGAGGAGGTCGAGAAGTTGCTGCTCATCTGGTTAGAAGAGAAGCAGCGTGCAGGGGACACAGTGACTGAGGCCGTGATTTGTGAGAAGGCCAAGGCCTTGCACGCAGACCTCATCCGGGAACAGCCAGGAACCTCGGCCGAGCCAGAAGTCTTCAAGGCAAGCAGAGGCTGGTTTGACCGGTTCAAGGCAAGATCCGGAATCCACAGCGTGGTCAGGCATGGAGAGGCTGCCAGTTCTGATGTTCCTGCGGCTGAAGACTTTGCCTTGGAGTTCCTGGAGGTTGTGAAGACGGAGGGCTACGTTCCACAGCAGGTCTTCAACTGCGACGAGACCGGGCTGTTTTGGAAGAGGATGCCCAAAAGGACTTTCCTCACACAGGAGGAGGCCAAGTTGCCTGGCCACAAGCCCATGAAGGACCGTCTGACCCTGCTCTTCTGTGCCAACGCAAGCGGCGACCTGAAGATCAAGCCCCTGCTGGTGTACCACTCGGAGAACCCACGGGCCTTCAAGAAACACAAGGTCGACAAGGAGCGGCTGAGTGTCATGTGGCGATCCAACAGCAAGGCTTGGGTCACACGTGTGCTGTTTGTGGACTGGGTCAATCTTGCCTTTGGCCCTGCTGTCAAACAGTACCTGCTGGACAACGACCTGCCGCTGAAGGCTTTGCTTCTGATGGACAATGCTCCTGCTCATCCTAAAGGCCTTGAGGTGGACTTGTTGGAGGAGTTCAGCTTCATCAACATCATGTTCCTGCCGCCTAACACCACGCCACTGCTCCAGCCGATGGATCAGCAGGTCATCGCCAATTTCAAGAAACTCTACACCAAGGAGCTTTTCAGGCGATGCTTCGAGGTGACTGATTGCACCACCATCACCCTGCGGGAATTCTGGAAGGACCACTTCGACATCGTCACCTGCTTGAAGATGATCACCACGGCCTGGAACGGGATCAGCCAGAGAAATTTGAATTGCGCTTGGCGCAGCCTGTGGCCGGACTGTGTGGCACCAAGTGACTCTGATGCACCAGAGTCGACAGTGGTGCAGGACATTGTTGCCTTGGGGAGGACCATGGGCCTGGAGGTCACAGAGGAGGACGTCTGCGAGCTGGTGGAGGAGCACGACCACGAGCTGACCACCCAGGAGCTGGTTGAACTGCAGTCAGAGGTTGCGCAGGAGCAGGCCTCGCTGGAAGAGGAGGAAGCAACTGAGGAACGGCTGTCCTCCAAAGAACTGAGGGACATTTGCCAGAAGTGGAAGGAGGTGCAGGCTTTTGCAGAGCGGCACCACCCTGATCAAGCACGTGGCACATGACCAAGCGAACACTTTTGATACGACGGTCATGTTGCCTCTCAGGGAGCTGCTGAAAAGGCGGATGAAGCAGCAGACCATGGACAGGTTCCTCAGCAAGAAGCAAAGAGTGGAAGAGGAACCTTCTTCGAGTGGTCCCCCAGAGTCTTAGAAAATGTAATGTACCCTTTTTTGATTTTTAAATGTTTTTCCTGTCATGTTTAGAAACTTAATTTATTGTTCCTTCAATTTTTGATATGCTCTTTAAAGTATGTGTGACTTTAAAGAGCAGTTAATAAACTCTTGTTGTACCAAATTTGGCTTTGTTTGGACTTTTGACCATAGGAACGCATTAATTGAATTTCAATGCATTCCTATGGGAAACCGTGCTTCGCAAGACGAAAAATTCGCTAGACGAAAAAACTCGCGGAACGAATTAATTTCGTCTTGCGAGGCACCACTGTATATAAAAGGATGTCACATAGAGGAGGGAGAAGGGTTGTTTTCTGCTGCTCCAGAGAAGCAGACACGGAGCAATGGATCCAAACTACAAGAAAGAAGATTCCACCTAAACATTAGGAAGAACTTCCTGACAGTAAGAGCTGTTCGACAGTGGAATTTGCTGCCAAGGAGTGTGGTGGTGTCTCCTTCTTTGGAGGTCTTTAAGCAGAGGCTTGACAACCATAGGTCAGGAGTGCTCTGATGGTGTTTCCTGCTTGGCAGGGGGTTGGACTCAATGGCCCTTGTGGTCTCTTCCAACTCTATGATTCTATGATTCTATGAGTATCAACATCCAAATTTCATCTCTTCACATTTTAACAGGAAATGTTGGAGTCTATAGATTTTGCTAATACGATGTTTCAAGCATCTTGCCAGGCATCATTTTAAGTAAGTCACTCATCATTATTCACAGTGTTCCAAATATCCTCAGGTATTCCGAGAAGCCAGAAGCCGTTCCAGGAAATTCACCGGGCTCATTTGCCTATGTACTACCAGAAGCAACTGAGATACAAACCTGTTACTGAAAACAGAACATGTAAATTTTAATAGAATCTGTTTTCAGTAACAGGTTTGTCTCTCACAGTTGCTTCATTATACTAAATTTCAGTATAACGAAGTAGCAAGTTTTGTATACAGTGGTACCTTGGGTTAAGTACTTAATTCGTTCTGGAGGTCCGTTCTTAATCTGAAACTGTTCTTAACCTGAAGCACCGCTTTAGCTAATGGGGCCTCCTGCTGCTGCCGCGCCGCTGGAGCATGATTTCTGTTCTCATCCTGAAGCAAAGTTCTTAAACTGAAGCACCATTTCTGGGTTAGCGGAGTCTGTAACCTGAAGTGTATGTAACCTGAAGCGTATGTAACCTGAGGTACCACTGTACATGAAAACTATATCACGAGAGAAAAGTTTTTTTCCTATTTGTTGTTGTTACTGATTTTGTTCAACAACTAATATATTTTCAGTCATATCTCAGAATTTATTAATTTTTTAAAAAAGCTGAATAAAACCATCTGCTTTTCTTCTGGTCATTGGATGTGTGGGAATAATCAATTTTGCAAAGGAGATATTTGCTTTCAACATTTTCCAGTTATCCACTGTCAGACATTGCATAATGGAAACCTGGTGGAGTGGAGAGAACTGTTAGGACATGGTCATTTCTGGATATAAACTCTATAGGAAGGCTACGAAAGGAAGTATTGGAGGTGGTGTCAGTTGGCCTCTGTGAATAGGATGCTGGACTAGATGGGCCCTGGCCTGATTCAACAAAGTTCTTCTTAGGATCTTACGCACTTGATTTTTGTCAGAAATTTCATGATGCACAATTTCATGTGGAATCCTTCAACCAAGATAATGGCCATGACTTTTGGTTTATTTAACCTTAGGATGGTGAAAGTCGCAGCATTTCCAGTGCAGAAAACATCTCATTATTCTAGTCAGACAGAATATTGCTACTGCCCTGAAAACCACTTCTGAGACTTGCTCAGTGTGAGCAGGCAGCTGCTCAAGAACATCACACTGACCTTATTTTTCATTCTTAATTAAAGCCTGACTTGAACAGTCAATTGCAGTGTCACATACTTGATTCAAGATCAGTCCAAGAAAGCAGGTTTTAATGTTGCTATAATCACGCAGGAATATGATTCCAAGACGAACATCCAATTCCAATTAATCTTGCATAAGGAAGAGCAGGCTGAAATGATTTAGGAGAAAAGGGAAATATGGACACTTGGCTGGCTTTTAAAGGAGTTTAGACAAATCCAAGGGAAGATGAAGATGTCAATTATTATTTTTAGACACTATGGCTGTATACTACCCTCCAGTATTGACTTCTATATGCCAGTTGCTGGGAACAGGGGCTGCACATCGTATTTTGAAGGTGTCCTCCCACCAAAGCCTTGACACCGGCGTTGTGTTGTGACCTCTGGGTTCCGACAAGATCTCACCAGAAGCTGCTACTGTTGCTGTTTCTCTTTGCTTCTGCAGTGCCTTCATGGTTGGCACCTGCCCCTCCCACTAGAGAAGAGAGGAGAGGAGCTGCATAAATGGTTTCTGGTGAGATCTCATACGGCCTCCCATGACTGGAGACGTGGGAAGATGTGAGAGCCCCATGAGATCTCACCAAAATCCCCAAACTGCCACTGCAGCTGTTTCTCCTTCATTCTTCAGTGGCAGGTGGCAGGCAGCACTCATGAAAAGCCGAGGAGACGCAGTGGTAGCAGTGGCTTCTGGCAAGATCTTCACAAAATGCTTGTGAAGATCTGCAAGACCTCACTGGAAGCCGCCACCACTTCTGCCCAATTCTCTGGCAGTGACAGGGTTGTGGATGAATGAGGAGCCACCCTTGAGAATCCACTGCCCGAGGTGGCTGCCTCAGTCTATCTCATGGACAATAGAGTACTGACAGGGAATCACAAGTGAAGAGAGCAATGTTGCACTCAGGTCCTGCTTGCAGAATTCCCATAGACATCTGATTGACAGCTGTGAGAACACGATTATGAACTAGATGGGCCTTTGGACCAATTTTCTCATTAATTTATGGAGACTGTAGGGTGGCGGGGAAAGTGAGATAAATTTTCAGTACATCAGTAATTTAAACGTTAGGCCCTTCACCAGTCTGTTTTCACATCAAACTTTATTTATTTAGAATCATTTATTATTTTTTTCCAAACTGTATTTCCAGTTCTCTGGGAAAAAACCTTAAATGCTTCAGCTTCTTATTAACATCTGTTTGTTTGGGTTTTTTAATTTTTATTTTATTATTATGTATTATGTATTTACTTTTTTAAAAAAATATATATACTATATATGCAATTGTTTTAACTGCTTTATATATGTAACTGTTTTCTATGTGTTATTATATTGCAAATTGCTTCAGGATGCCTCTGGGGAAGTGAATAATAAATGAAAAAAATAATGTTTTTCTTTAAAAGAAAACTCCTTTTCAGTGGTAGACTGTCTCAAAGTACAGCCAAACCTGCAATATAACTCACTTGCTGGCTACAGATAAAGTAAGGCATCTCCTTTCTAAATTAAGTACAACTATTAGTTCAGCTACTTATTTATTTTGGAATGCAATGCTACACACTTTAAATTATGATGCAACCAAAGATCAGAACTTTCAAATCCTGTTGATTTCAAAAGAAGATGAATGTAAAGCCTGCCTGGGCAGACCAACTCTATACTCCTGAAGTGGGAAGGGGACACTTATAGCGATCTAGTGGTGGTCTGATATGCACCTCCCTTTATACATTCACTGTGCAGAAGTGGGAAAGGGGAAAGTGTTGCAGAGAAGAAGCCCAACCACAGAATGGAATACGCACACTCCAGCCGTGCCTCTGGTGTCCCTCGCAACACCATAGGCCGCCAACAAGCATGAGCTGCAGTGAGGACAAGAGCGGCAAGGAAGGAGCCCTCTCCCCCACTCAGAGTAACAGAGGCAAGGCCTCCGAACACCTTCCCACCCCATCCCATGCACAGCATGCAACCAGTGGCATGGCAACAATAGACTCTCTTCCACTGTGTGTGTTTCCATGTCAGCCCTGGGAGTTGCCAGAAAGTCCTACACACAATGATTTGAATCCCCTTTTACCATGGATCCCTGCAGACTACTACTACTACTACTACTACTACTACTTTATTATTTGTACCCCACCCATCTGGCTGGGTTTCCCCAGCCACTCTGGGCGGCTTCCACAGAAACCAAAAATACACTAAAATATCACACATTAAAAACTTCCCTGAACAGGGCTGCCTTAAGATGTCTTCTGAATGTCAGGTAGTTGTTTATCGCTTTGACATCTGATGGGAGGGCATTCCACAGGGCGGGCGCCACTACTGAGAAGGCCCTCTGCCTGGTTCCCTGTAGCTTTGCTTCTCACAATGAGGGAGGGAACCACCAGAAGGCCCTCGGCGCTGGACCTCAGCGTCCGGGCAGAACGATGGGGGTGGAGACGCTCCTTCAGGTATACTGAAGGCCGTTTAGGGCTTTAAAGGTCAACACCAATACTTTGAATTGTGCTTGGAAACGTACTGGGAGCCAATGTAGGTCTTTCAAGACGAGTGTTATGTGGTGTCGGCAGTCTAACTGCCGCATTCTGGATTAGTTTACTGACTAGGAAAGAGGAGACATGAATTCATGCTCCACTCCTCTTTTGATTGCCAAACCAGCATTAGTCTGGTTGGAGGTAAAAGAGGAGGAGCTCTTTGGATTCAAGATTGACTGTGCAAGCTCCACAGAGAAGCTCTCTGCTCTTTTACCACAGCAACAGACAGAAAGGAGGGACTTTATTGGGAGTGGGCACTCCTGCACATAGCAATAAAAGACATAGCTATATATCACATTTGCATGTGTTCATTGTAGTTCTGTTTACTGAGGTATGTAATTTACAACCTATTGTTATGTGGCCCCTGAGGCAAGGAGATAAGTAACTATACAGCCTTTAGAAGACATCTAAAGGCAGCCCTATATAGGGAAGTTTTTAATGACTGATGTTTTATTATGTTTTTATATATGTTGTAAGCTGCCAAGAGTAGCTGGAGCAACCCAGTCAGATAGATGGGGTGTAAATAATAACAATTGTTTGATTTAATATTATTATTATTATTATTATTATTATTATTATTATTATTGAATAGGATGTCCCAATTTTCTTCAAAGAAATGTTGGAAGGTATGTAACGTCAATCCCAGGGTGGGTTACAGCATAGTGTGTGTGTGTGTGTGTGTGTGTGTGTGTGTGTGTGTAACATGATAAGGTTACCAGATGTCCCCGTTTCCCAGGGACAGTCCCCAGATTTACAAATCAGTCCCCTGACAAAATCCATCTATTTAGTAGAAAGTTGAAAAGTGTCCCTGGATTCATTGGAAAAAAATCTGGTAACTTTATAACATGTTCAAATAAGCAAACTGAAAAATCAGACTACTACAACAATGGATTACAGTAGCATGAGGGTGACACAATATCTCCTCCAGTCAAGCTAACCAAATGCCTGCATAAATAAAAAATGTCTTTCCCAGACACCTAAAACCCACCAGGGTTAAATTTGAAATACTGTATATAATATAGTTTCACAAATTAAAAACAGTCACTACAATATAAATAGAAATACACCATATCAGATAAGACAGTTTTGACAATATGAACCACATACCTGTTTTCAATCTGCTTTCCAGGTTTTAACTCTTGGTGGGCAGCTTCAGGGCCCACCTGCCCTTTCTTCTTATGGATTTTTATCAGGACCTGAGGACCCTTCAAATAGGGGACTCTCCTCTGCATAGGACGAGCGAGAGCCACTCTAAATTAAGCCTTAATTGAGTTCTGTGAATTAACACACACACAAACACCACAATTGGGCTTGGATGAAGAGTTAAATATTCTCAAAGCAAACTTTCTGTGAACTTTGTGCCTCGTTAAGTTAAAAATTACTCTCAAATGTCCAATTTAATGGAGGAATCCCTTGAGAACATCTGGGTTACAGGTGCTGGCTGAGGGTGTCTATTTTTCCCCCTTTCCAGGTTATGAAGAAAAATGAATGAAAATATATATGTGTGTAGAGACACTTTAATAAGTTTTGAGGTCAATAGTGAAATGGACCGAAACTGAGCTGTGCAACAGATCAAAATGAGGAAGGGGAAAATGAGTATGAGAGAGAGAAAGAAAGAGTGTAACTTCAACCAGCAAGAGGGTGTGATATAAGCACTGCTTTAAGGTGGAGCTATCTGATTTTCTTAGTGATATTTAAGGAATGCTGTATGACATACTGTGTGTATAATGTTTGTATGCCACCTGCAGACATCATAAAATGACCTCCTGTACCTGTGTATTCCCTCTTCCTGAAGTGCTCAAGATGCCTGCAGCTGAATGTGGCATAAAAGAAAGTACGAAAGTGATAGTGAACACCACTCTAATCTTGAATGTATTACCTTCCTTATTGGCCTCTCTCCCCTGCTTGGGGGTTCAATTCTCACCTTTTGCCCAGAGCAGCACAGATTCGTACATTCCCTCCTTCATAAACACAACACACAACCCAGCCTCTTGTTTCCTGTATTAGCCTCCAGAAAAGGGAGGTGCCCATCCCCAGCAGAAACACAAATATCAATGACTAGAGCTCATATTGCTCTCCTCTTTCCTTGCCTGATTCTCCTGGCAAGGGTTAACTTTGCTCCCAATACTGCTGTTGTTCACTAACCCTCCAACAGCCCTGGTCCTTTCCTACGAGCAAAAAGGCACAATGGTTTGGATTGGCAGGTGGGCAGGGGTACCCACTTGCCAATCATCTGATGTCACCATGGACTCAGCTGATAGAACTTCATTCCTTTGCAACCGTGGCTTGCACAAAAAAGAAGGTTTTTTGTTTTGCAGCCCAGCAGGACCTCAAGCTGGGGCTGCAAAGAATCCATCTTCCTTTACAGGCATGGTTCAAGCTGTGGCTGCAAAGGAAGATTCTTTGCATCTCTGGCTAGAATTCAAGATGGGTTGCAGAGGAAGAATTTGCAGTGAAATTTTGCTGCCCAAAGTTGCCACTTTTAAAATTAGGCAGCTTTCCCCATCACTGCCTGGTTTTGCGCGCGCACACACACAGTTCATTTTATGTGCAACTCACTGTTAATGCTAGAGTTTAGCTAGTGCAAGAAGAGAGCTATGGAGTTCAATTTTATTTTAGAGAGTGTGGAAATGCCTTGAGATAGATAACGCTGGTATGACTATGGAGACCATTCTTCCCATCAGCTAGTATTCTTAAGACATTATTTTAACCAGACTAGCATGCCAATTTGGATTGAATAAAAAAAATCACAGCTGGCTGAAAATGTCTGTCGATGGAAACACCTTATGGTGTGGTTCCTGTTATGGCTGAGAAACATTTAAGGGCTCAAGCAAGGTTTCTTTTTCTTCCTTTTTGATGGTATGACAAGAATCTGTTCCACAAGGCTAATCATTTGTCCAGTTAACCAGCATACATTTCAGATAAGCAACATAGTCTTTTAATCATATTGAATAATCAAGTCAAACTTTGAGCCCTAATTTGCACAAACCGAGAGAAAGAAAGTTTGTGAGTGTCATATAAAAAGGCAACACGTCTTTTGTGGATTCAGTAAAATCAATCTCTTTACAGTAAATCCAAGCAGGCAATTTGATTTACGGATGCACTGAGAACTGATGAGCTTCATTGGAATTAGTTAGCACATTTGTATGATCAGAGCATTTATGCTAGGGATTCAGGAGGCCAATTAGCTACTGTATAGTCAGTAGTTCTAAGTGTACTGGTTCCAAGGAGTGCTTGGACTGCCAATTCCAAGATGTACTATTCCCAAAGTGCTGCTAGGATCTAATTTAGAAAAGTGCTAATTTTGGAATAGTTTGTGCCAGGCTTCAAGGCTTAGTATATCCAAAGGCTAATTTCAGAATGGGACAATATGGAGGAAAGAAAATCAGTGAAGAAATGCAGGAGGCCACTATGAATATAGCTCTCTTCCAAGCCTTTTCAATTAGCAGGAAACAAAAGAATAGAAACCCCCTCAGCCAATGTGTGTGCCAAAGCCATCTTAATGCAATGCTTCCATAGCTCTCCATCATGACCCACTCACTAATTAATTGAGTTGGAAGTCAAACCGCATGCCTTCACATCCAAGAGAGGCGGAGAAAGGAGCAGCCAAGGCAGCTGCCTGGGGCCTCCTGCTGACCGGCCTCCATGCAAACAGAGAGGAAGGGCGACTGGGAAAGCAAAATGTGTCACCTTCGAAAGGACAATACAGAACTGGTTCTGGCTGACTTGATACTACCCAGCAGAGCTAGAAGAATGCTAAGCTATTTTGTGGCACACTGTAATATGGCCTGTCTAATCTGAAGTTTCTGGTTTACTAGTTTAGCAGATTTCAACTGGGATGCAAAATGGCTACGACTGTTGATTCCAGGAAAGAAGTGACCTGATAAAACAAGAGCCCTTAAACAGGGATGAGTAACTTCAGGGCCAAGGGTTGAGACCTCCAGGTCTCCATGCCCAGTCCTCAGGAGTCACCCTGAGGCACACCCCTCACTTCCCTTGCTTCAGTCTCTCCTTGAATGTTTTTTCTAGCTGGATTGTGTCCTTGAACTCTGATAAATCCTTCTGCTGGCCTGGGTGAAGGATAGAGAGGAATATTATGGATGTGCGCAGAAACTAGACTACTGTACAAAGTAGAATTTACATTCATTGCTTCACCTACTTTTGTCCCTAGCTTGTCTCAGCACTGGTACGTGGACCCCAGAGGGTTCCCCAGAAAGAAATGCAGCCTTTGGGATGAAAAATATTGTCCACATCTCCCTCCCCATAAAGTACTGCATTTAGTTCCAATTGAACAAGCATATCAAAATTGTAACATTTTCCCTAGCCCACATTGTTGGCAATGATGGCCACTGATAAATATTTCTTGGCACCAGATCTATCCACTTGATTGCTGCAAATTCCAGTAGATGAGCACTTGTGTGAACTTTTAATACGCTCCTTGGGAGACATTACATCTGCAGATTGTCTTTTTGATTAACATCAGCATTCAGTAGTTTATTCCAACAATAGGGTGGAGGTTAAGTGTGTAATCACCATGCCTCAGTCATCAGCATTTTATTTGGAAGAGGAGAATCCACACAGTGCCATCATCATTTTGTAACCCATGTTTTCCAAGTTATTCATCCATCTTTATTACTATTGTGAAAATCATCAACTATTTGGGGAGCTTGTTTGAAGCTAGACCCAAAGTGTGATTTTCAGGGATGTGGGTGGTCCTTTAAGCTACTCTACTTTCTTTTATAGGAGTGTGAGGTTTCAATGTTTGCTGTAGCATTAGTGAAGGATGAACCATATCACTAGAATGTCTCACCTCCTTACTTGAGGATTCTGCTGCTATTTTGTTTCTGGTGACACCACCAGTGCCATGCATACGATCTTCTCTACCTTATTCACATTTGAGTAGTTCTTACCATTCTTCTCACTGTTTTAAAAAGCAGTGCATTCTTTCTGGGGGTACGCAGGGGTATGCATACCCCTAAATGTTTTGTGAATCTTTGTACTTCCGTCCATTTACTGTATTTATTTCCCCTGATATGAACCATAAAATGGTGATTTTCTTGAGTCAAAATGAGACTATCCCTAAACATATTTTCAGGGGGGAAAAGCACTGTTAATAAGTATCTTTCACTGGAAAGAGCAGCAGATTTTTGAAGACATTAAGGTTTATATTGGTGCAGTATTTATTTGGGTAAAAATGTTGGAGGAACATGACCAAAGGCTACAAACAGCTCTGGAATGACCAGAGCAGCAGGTCTATCGCTGAATAATCAGAAATGCAAATGTAGAATGCAGGAAATTACATATTTAGGGGGAAAGCTGACTGAAAAGATGTACTGATAGACGCTGTCAGAATTCCATCTATCTCAAATATGTTCCCTCCAAAAGATAAGCAGTTTTCAACTTTGTTTTACGTAGGTTTATGGTTTGAATGTAAGCTGACCAAAGCACTTTTAATAGTAACATTGGTTGGGAAATTCATGTCAGACTTGGCTCACATCATCCAGGCTACTTTAAACAGAAAAACAATGCTAGACATAAGCTTCATATTTATCGAACAAGCTGTTTGAAAAGCTGAAGCAAGTAACCAAACTTTTCAGGTACCGGTATACAATACTGTATGTGCCTCAAAAGAGGAGCTGTAGCATTATCTCTAGTGATCTTCGGAAACCAGAAGTACTGTATAACCTTCTAGATGTCTCACAGAAGCAGAACACCAAGATGCACAAATAGCAGGAAACTTTTCGCTTAGTATTATTAATGGGTGTCTTCATCAGTGAGGCTGTTGAATTTATTTAGAAGCCAAAGATTGTGACACAAGGATTGCATCTGCTATGGCCAAAGGATAAAATGGGTAGGCCTAATGGTGCATTCTAGAGCCAGAGGGCATATTTCAAAAACAGTGAGAGCAGTAGGAGGAATATGTGAATAGGAAACACCTTTGGGCTGTTGAAAAAGGAGCAGAATAAGGGCCAAATTGAACACGATGTTAAATCTGTGATCAAATTTAATGTGGGTTGTTGTTTTTTTTGTTTGCTTGTTTGCTTTAAAGCAGTCTTTGCCAACCAACTGCCTTTGAGATATTTTGGACTGCATTTGGACTCATGAGACTTGTAGTCCAAAACATCTGGAAAACCCCAGGTTGGCAGTTGGATTCATATCATGGTACATGGCGGAAGGGTGTAACTATTCCCCTTTGTTCTGTAGTCCCAAAGAAAATTGCTCCTCCAGGAGGAAAAGTGCTGTATTTATTTTTAAATCATAGGAAAATGTAACCTTTCCCAAACAAT